TTCGTACCATCAGCTCATTTGCGCATCCAGGTCGCCTGAATGTAGAACTAAGACCCAAATTACGTTCCTTCCTCCCCAAAAATAGGAAACGCACTAAAAATGTGTTAAACGTTGATAATATATTTCCTGTTTCCGATCTGTACAGGAAATGGGATCCGACGCTACTTCCAGGAGCTAACTTTAGCAGCTTAGGATCTCGTCTTTCTGAGTTTTATGTTTTATTTTCATGTTAACATTTTGGTAAATAGTTCATAATCTAAAGAAAGCAACAACTAAAATGCAGATAAACATGTTTAATCAGATTTAGCTGGACTGAGCGGGACCCATGATGACATCATAGAAGCTGTTTAATGAAGAAAATGTAAAAAGCATCAAAATTGTCTTTGAAAAGTATTAAAACATTTTTTAAAGATGTTTATTAGCATTTTTTAAAGATGTTTATTAGCATTTTTTAGAGAGTTTTTAGTACCGTAATAACATTATTTATGGACACCCGGATGTATATCTGTTTGCGCAGGACGGTAGTGACAACGAGAAAGAACAAAGATGGCGCCGTGCAGAGAGGCAGTGATCATGTCTGAACCATCAGTTAACTGAGTTCACTATAGAGTTCACTATATGAACTTAGGGATGCCAACTGTCCCTTGAAAATATGATCGTTCTGTATTTAGAAATAGAAGTTTGTCCACCCGTCCCGCATTTAGTGGAAAAGCGTTTGATCACGTTTTAAGGCAGGTTTATGCTCAGAAACCAGGTCATCGCAGTGAACGCAGATATGCCCCGCCCCTTTCTGCAGACACTCTGCTGCAGCTCTCCCAAATTGTAGGTGACTGCAGACAGGAGGCCTCTGATTGGTCGATTCTACATCCGCTCTCCTCTATGCGGATTTCCTGTTTGGTTCCTTACCGTCTCGTTTTGTTTTTGGCCCTCATGTCGTTCCGCTGTCCGTTAGAAACCAACGGTAAACTTATGACCAATGAGCTGACAACAGACATGAATCCCCTCGTCCCATTGGTCGAGCCAAGTGTTGCTCACGGAGAAGATAGCGGGAGACAGAGGAGCAGGATGGGGGACGATGAGTTTGGGGGCGGTGCATAGTGATGCTCCTCGTCCGGAAAAAAAAAAGACGCAGGAATATATGGAGGAATGGGAAACGTCTGTGCTAAGAATATAAAGTTCACTCCACAGCGAGCCGCCGTGATTTTCTGCAGCCCATGAGGGGGCCATTTTTTCTCAGGGAGTTGGCAGCCCTACCCCCGCTCTATAGTGATGGAGGGGTTTAGGGTTATGGCGGACCTTCAGACGCAGCAGCAGATTTTATTTTGCTCCTCCAGGTGAGGTAGCCCCAAAAACCAACATTATAGCGTTATATGCTAGCCTTTACATGTCTAAGCTTTTAAATGTCAGCATTAACAGCATCCATATCCAAACACAGATATAATTCCCTACTAATGTTACGGCTTTTTATTATAACAAACTCATGGAAGCACCAGGCAGCAATCACTGCCCTGATTGGACATGAAATCAGTTTAACGAGCAGAGCAGTCTGAGTTTTAGCGACAGGCTAACCAAACTTTTCAGTCTCTCAGGTCCCGTTTCTGCATGTCGTCTTTGCTAAAGGTGAAGGGCTTGTCGTAGCCCATCAGGTGATTGTAGTCGTGTGGAAAAGTGAAGAGGTCTGGATTGACCAGGAGTCCCACTTGTCCAGCATAGAAGGTGGTGAACATCCTGCCTACAGCCGGGATCCTGACCTGACTCTGATGAAACACCGAGCGTTTCTCAGTCAGGAAGACGCTGTAGGTGATGGCGGTGTAGGTGTCTCTGTCTGCGTTGTGGTACAGGCGGACCACGTAGCCCTTTGTGATGAGATGGAGGAGGACTGGAGTGAGGAAGGTGAAGAAGCCCACGATGCCGCCGAAAGCCACCTTCAGCGCCACGCTCCCGGCTCCCAGCCCAGAGTTCAGGAGGATCTGAGGCATCAGGATGAGGCTGGCGCCGCTGGTACTGTAGGAGAACAGCTTCACCCCTGTCCAAAGCACGTTTACAGATTACTGCCCACTTACAGCTTCATCAATGACATCAGTCTGTTTATAGAAGGCGTGGAAATTAACCCT